AAAAAAAAAAAAAAAAAAAAAAAAATGGAGGAAAATGCAAAAAATGGGTTAACCATAACATCACATTGCAAAAACTCATGAACAACCTCATCAAAGACATGCATTCAAACAGCATTTTCTGAATATTGACATAATACAATTTTATGAGTTACAATCTTATTTAACCAAATGCAGTCCCAAATTCACCACTCAAAAGTAAAATACATCACTAACCACTATCACATATTCAAAATCCAATGGCTATTCTATATTCACAGCCAATTTTTAGAAGAAAACTTCATACTAATACCTAACAAAAAGAAGCCGCTTAGCTTCGAGTTCCAAAACGAAGGCAATAATATCGTCGATATTAAGCTACCGGTTCACCTTTTTTTCTTTATTTTGGATAATGGGATCGGGCTCTCTTTGAATGCCGATGGACAAAAATCGCTTATCGTGCATATGCTACAACGAGGTCTAAGAGGAGTGCATACGGTCTGCCCAAAACCCACCTATTTCATAAAAAAAAAAAAATGCATTGTATATTCAGACAAGTTCTCTGAAAATTATAATATTTCGAGCATACTTGAAGATATTTATTGATTAATAATGTGGCAGCATTAATGCACATACCAGGAGAGGGTTGATGGGAACCCATTCTTCCTTAGGAAGCCATAGTTGTAAGGACACTCTAGTTTCCTCTGGGGTCGAAGTTTTCTAGAAGAAAGAAGCGAGAAAGAAAGCTCGTTCATGGTTCAAATCAATGTTTATATATGGGAAATGTTGGATTTATTCAAAACTTATTGTTGAATGAAAACGAGTACCTGATTAGTGCCGGGACGTGAAACCCATCCGAGACGATTACAAATCCGGTGCACGTGAGTGTCAACACATATTCCTTGAACGTTATTCCACCCGACATTCATGACCTAAAACGAGCAAAAATTTAAGTCATTTTGGTGAAATACTAAAGGAATGAGCAAAGAATTTACATATTAATGGCAGCCCTCCATTTTTATTTACTTATTTATTATTTTTTTATATTTATTTTGCTTTTTTCTCACCAAATGCGCCATTTTGGGGCCGATTCCTGGAAGCTGCAGCAGCCCATCCAATGTACTAGGAATATCTCCATTGTACTTTGAGAGACAAATTTTTGCGATTTTTTTCATGTTGCTTGCTTTTCTTGTGTAAAATCCCACCTGCAGAAAATTTTGGGATATTATTAAAAGCTAACACAAAATTTGGGATAATTATAGAAAACTGTAATAGCAATCACGTGAAAGAGTCAAATTTATCTTTCGAAATTACGAATACCCTGTTGAGGCTATTTGCAATTTGAAGTTAACTTTAGCTTTTTCAGTAATTAGAATTGCTTCTCCGGAATGCATTGTACGATCGAATTCGTAATTCAACTTGTAATATCAAGTGCTAAAAAAAGATTCCTACAGGGTAAATTAACTTCTTGATTTCATCTTCAATAGCTTTGTCAATGGCCTCGGCCGTAAGCAAATCATTTTGCAGTAGCCGTTGAATAGCTCCTGAAAGTCAAAGAACTCGATGAACCATACAATAAAAAAGAAATTGGCAACTTCGTAAACTATTTTAAATATGAAAAAATCAGGACTTGCCATGGGTAACATGATCCTTTGTTTGACTCGATAAGAGTGAAGATACCAAAACTGCAAACCTTCTCTCCTGAAAATCCAGGAATGAAAAAGGAAAACTATATTAAAATGCAAACGATAAGTCGAGCCATTTTCTGAATTTCATATTCAATCAAAACAATAAAAGATAACACACACAGAAGATCCATCATATGGGCATCACATACACAATCATCAAAGAACATTATTGTGCCCCCTTTTTTAGAAAATTAATTTTAAAAAAAAAAAAAAAAAAAACACCTCAGGAGGAAGAGAACTGCCAGCTTTTTCACACCCCATTGAATCTACAGGGGCATCTTCGGAAGACCTCATATTCCGAATAGCTTCAAGGACCTTCTCCCAGTTTTCAGGTGCTTGTTCTGTATAAATAATATATATAAACAAATAAACATTATATTTTCGAATGCTTTCACATTTTGGGAACATTTTGCTGCAACTTCTGTCTTTTTCTACTTTCTGAACAGAACTATGCAATCTTCCTTCCAATTAACTGAATAGAATACACCATGCAAAAGAAGTCTTCTACTCTTCTCCTTAAACCAATTTCAAAGAACATTACAAGCATTCACATTATTTTACACCTCAATTGAGTAGTGATTTGGTTAGTCAATTGAGCAGATAACTCCATTTTCAAGTGCTTCACGGACAAAAATAACCTCTGGCCAGTATATTTGTGTGACCTCCAAACTAAAACTTTAACCTTAGGCCAGCTCCGCAGCTTAAACCAGGAGCCTCGTTTCACTATGAGTATGCTAAATATCCACCATCAAATAGTACGATGACAAAAAGGTGATGAACGAAAAATGTACAATTTGTATAGAGGGCATACATAATCCGGTAAATGAAAACAAAACACACTCTCAAAATCCAAGAGATAATTTCTTTAAGAAAAGGACATATAGTAGATCTAATATGTTCGAAAGCAGTATAATGATGTTGACGAAAAGGACTTTAAGAGACAAAAGTTAGTTTACATACTCATACGAGAATGACTTTTGTCCGTCTGGTAACCAAAATCTTCAATTTCAGGGAGGCTGGAAGGCTGCATCGAGTTTTTAGTGCGTGTTCAGGAAAGAGGACAATTGCTAAGAATCACAAGCAGAATATAGTCTACACAAACTCTGAACCATTAAGAAAAAGTACCATATGCTACTAGACCACCTTTAACCAGCTACACGACCGTAAATACTAATTTATCAACATTTCTACTGAAAATCTTAGCATTTGTTACAACAGTTCTTGCTTGACGTCCAAATTAGTTTAGCATTTTCAGCAGGTCTTTATTGAAGTAAATGCTATACTATCTTCAACAATATTTACACCAAAATGAATGTAGCCAGTTAAACAATATTTCTCAAGTAAATATTACATTTAACTAGTCGACTGCAGAATAAAATGTAAGATCCTAATCTGGGCTATAAAATGCTATGAATGAACTTTATCCTTGCAAGCAAACTGGGTACAAGGAAGACACTCTAAACTTTAAGTATTTCATTAACATAGCATTCAGACCACATTGTGAGAAACTCAATACATGTTAAACAAGTAGCATAATTTAACTTAATCACAATTCATGAATGATCGTCACAAGCTCAACTAATCAAACTTGCAAAAGAATCCTATTTTCACCACGCACCGACGGGGTAAACCAAATGGACCGCCTAACAAATGAAGTTTTTCAGCTTCAGAACAGAAGTGTGAGTAAATAAAGTAAACATTTTTTTCATCATGTACTGGCAAAAGGAAGGAAGAAAATAGAAAAGTAACATCATTTATACCTTCTGATCAAGAATCTGAGGTTTAACCTCTTCAACAATGGCCTGGTCAGTCTTTATACCTCTTCTTTTCCTAACAAAGACACGGAGTTCTGGAACCAATTCCTTATTTTCTCCACTTTCAGAACCTGTAAGAATTATTGAAAAAAAAAAAACATTTGAGAACATGGGGGCCCTGCAAGCTGCAACCTTGAAACTTAAAACGAACAAAATAGAAGAATATACAAAACAAACACGAGCATTTCACCTGTGATTTTTGATCCAGTAGATGCTTTCATCTCCCTTTTGGCTGACGAGAATCTTGTGATTCGCATTTGGCTGAAGGTAGCTGAAAGGATGGTTTTTGGTGAATTTACATGTACGAGTGAAGAAATGTTCTTGGGCAGAGGCAAGGACATTTTTTCATTTCATTTCTGAAGGAGATTGAAAAGATATTTGCAGTGTTTTGTGACCCGGACCGGTTCCGGCACCGGACCTGCCGACCCGGAGCCGGAACTGGTCCGGGTGGGCTATTTGGACAGGCCAATTACGAACCCGGTCAAAACCCGACCGACCCGGCCTTGACCCGGTCGACCCGGGGCATTGACCCTGCTGGGTCAACTGGTGCCTATATTATTTTTTTTATTTTTTAAATTTCTTTTTAAAAAATAAAACTATGTATATATATTTATATGGTAAATATATACATATTATTACCACTTTAATCTACAAATTTTACATACAAAACATTTAATTTTATTATTTTTATGTATATTTATATATCACAAAATACTCTATATATAATTTTATAAATTTTAAAATTAATTATTCGATTCAGCAATTGATCCGGTGACCCGGCGGTTGAACCGGTGACCCGGGGCCCGGGTCTATTACCGGTTTAAAAACTATGGATATTTGCAAATTAAAAAGCTTTCTTTACAGCTTTTCTTTTTTTTTTTTTTGATTAGTTATCATTTTCGAGGTGCATTTATTTAATTTATTATTCTTCTTAAATATATAGTACTGAAATTAATAAATTTAAAGCAAAACAATGATAATTTAATAAAAAATAATCCCAAAACATGCAAATGTCTAGAGCAATTGGCTTAACAAATGATCATATTCGATAAATTGGCATAATAATTGATCTTATTCAATATATATATATAATTGATCTTATTCTATTTATTTATGTGTATTTTTTATTTATGTTAAAGAAATATATGTTAATACTACATAAAAACCATTTTTGTAACAATAAATGTCTGACTATGTTGAATCGAAAGAGCAGAAAAATTCTTAGCTGAAAAATGAATTTTATTTCATCCAAAATCCCAATCCGTACGTACAAAACACATGCATATTTATAGCAGTGTAAAAATAGAAAACCCCTCAGCTCACTTAATACGGTGCCGTTTAATATCCTATTACAAAAGTGCAGAAAAGAAAATAACAAACGCGCACACGCGTTTTATCCCTAAAACCAAAGGAAGCAAAAGATAGCATAAAATAGAAAATAGCATATATATTCTCTACACCCCCTCCTCAAGTTGGAGAAGGGCTTGAAAAGGCCATTCCCAACTTGGACCTGAGATCAGCAAAACGAGCAACAGGGAGCACCTTTGTAAAAATATCAGCCACTTGCAAACTTGAAGGAACATAGTGAAGTTGGATAAAGCCTTCCTTGTATTTATTGCGCACCACATGACAGTCGATTTCAAGGTGCTTTGTGCGCTCATGGAACACGGGGTTGGCAGTAATGTGCATGGCAGCATGATTGTCACAGCACAAGGAGATAGGCAAGGGAACATGAACCTGAAGATCTTTACCAAGAACATGAAGCCACTGAAGTTCACAAACAGTGGTGGCCATTGCTCTGTACTCAGCCTCAGCTGAGGATCTAGAGACTGTGGTCTGTTTCTTGCTCTTCCATGAAATGAGATTAGGGCCCAGAAATATGCAAAATCCAGTTATAGATCTCCTAGTATCCTTGCAGGCAGCCCAGTCTGCATCACTGTATGAGTAAAGTGTGGAGTCAAGACTGTGTTGATAGTACAATCCCAAAGATGCAGTGCCCCTCAGGTACTTAAGAACTCCCAAAGCAGCTTCCCAGTGATTAGTGAAAGGATTGTTTACAAACTGACTTAACTGTTGCACCACATACCCAAGATCTGGTCTGGTCAAGTTGAGATATAAAAGCCTCCCAATGAGCTTTCTATAGTTTTCTGGATCCTCCATTGGTGTGCCATCATAAAGTGAGAGTTTAAGACCTGAGGGAAAAGGAGTTGATGGTGCAGTGCAATTCTCCAGTCCAAAATCTCTAAGCAAGTCAATGATGTACTTCCTTTGACACAAATAAGTGTCAGTTCCTTTTCTGAAAATTTCAACACCCAAGAAAAACTTTGCAAGCCCCAGATCTTTGATGGTGAATTCAATATCCAAGAAAGACTTTAACTGAGACACAAGTTGTGGATTGGACCCTGTGATGAGAACATCATCCACATAAATCAGCATGGCCATGTAATCTTCTCCAGAAACTTGTGTAAAAAGGCAATGATCTTGCATTGATTGCTGCAGCCCATATTGAAGTAGCTTGTTAGTAAATTCACTGTTCCACTCCCTAGAAGCCTGTTTTAATCCATATAAGCTTCTCACCAACTTGCAAACTTGCCCATTCTTGGCCTTACAGTAACCCTGAGGTGGCTTCATATAGACCTCTTCACTGAGGTGGCCATGCAAGAAAGCATTGTTAATGTCTAGCTGCCACAATCCCCACTGATGCATTGTTGCAAGAGCTACAAAAAATCTTACTGTAACAAGCTTAGCAACAGGAGAGAAGACATCAAAGTAATCCACTCCCTCTACTTGGTTGAAACCCTTTGCCACCAATCTTGCCTTGAACCTCTCAACACTGCCATCTGCCTTTCTTTTGATTTTATAAACCCATTTAGATCCAATGGCTTTCTTACCAGGAGGCAGATAACATA